GGAGTTCCATGAGTCTGGCCCTGGGGCAGAGTGCATGGGCATGCCATTTATCGCCTGTTCGAAGTCACTTGGTGTCAGGATAACATCGGATAGACTTGTGTTAACCAAATTTTGTGGCTCTCTCATAGAAAATTCATTTTGATCTTCGACTCTCAGTCTGGTTAGCAGCTTGCTAAAAACTGAGTCATATTGGGACTTGAGTAGCTCACTCATTTCCTTGCTGTCATCTGTGTAGGACCCATCTTGTTTAAGTAGGGGCCCAATACTGGACGTTGTTCTTGACTTTGATTTGGCATAGGAGAAGAAATACTTTGGGTTTCTTTCGATTTCATTTATGGCTTTTAGTTCTTCCCGCGATTCCTGACTCCTATAAGATTCCTTTAGCTTAACTTCGATGCGTGCTATTTCTCTGACCAGTGTCTCCCTACGCATTTCAGATATAGCTAGAGGAGCAGGCAAGAATAACAGGAAAGGCACTGCAATGGATCAGAGAATACCTGACAGGTAGGAAACAACAAAGCAAAGCTAAGAACTATAGACCAATAGCTCTGACGTCCCACATCATAAAAATCTTTGAAAGAGTGCTAAGAAGCAGGATTGCAAATCACCTGGATTCCCAAAATCTGCACAATCCAGGGCAACATGGGTTCAGGGCAGGTCGCTCCTGCCTCTCACAACTACTGGATCACTATGACATGGCCTTGGATGCACTGGAAGAAAATCAGAATGCAGATGTAATATACACAGACTTTGCAAAAGCATTTGACAAATGCGATCATGGCGTAATAGCCCATAAAATACGTGCTAAAGGAATAACTGGGAAAGTGGGGAGATGGATCTTCAACTTCCTAACAAATCGAACACAAAGAGTAGTGGTCAACAGAGTTAAATCGGAGGCTGCCATAGTAAAGAGCTCTGTTCCACAAGGCACAGTACTCGCCCCCATCTTATTCCTTATCCTCATATCAGACATAAACAGAGATATACACCACAGCACCGTATCATCCTTTGTGGATGATACTAGGATCTGCATGAGGCTGTCATCTGCTGAGGACGCGGTTAACCTCCAAGAAGATATAAACAAAGTTTTCCAGTGGGCAACGGTAAACAATATGATGTTCAATGAAAAACTGGAGGAGATAATAACTAGAACAGAGTATACTACTGACTCCGGCCATACAATAGAGCGGAAAAATAATGTAAGGGACCTGGGAGTAGTAATGTCTGAGGATCTCACTTTCAAGGATCACACCAGTGCCACGATCGCACGTGCAAAGAAAATGATAGGATGGATAATGACAACTTTCAAAACGAGAGATGCCAAGCCCATGATGATCCTTTTCAAATCACTTGTTCTCTCTAGGCTGGAATACTGCTGTACATTAACATCTCCATTCAAAGCAGGTGAAATCGCAGATCTAGAGAGTGTACAGAGATCCTTTACTGCACGTATAAGTTCTGTCAAGCACCTTAACTACTGGGAATGCTTGGAAGCACTTGACTTGTACTCGTTGGAACGCAGGAGGGAGAGATATATCATAATCTACACTTGGAAAATCTTGGAAGGAATGGTCCCAAATCTGCACACAGAAATCACTCCCTACGAAAGTAAAAGACTGGGCAGGCGATGCAAAATGCCCCCTATAAAAAGTAGGGGCGCCATTGGTACACTAAGGGAAAACACCATAAGTGTCCGGGGCCCAAAACTATTTAACAGCCTCCCATCAAGCATTAGGGGAATTGCCAATAAACCCCTGGCTGCCTTCAAGAGAGAGCTGGACTGATACCTAGTGTCAGTGCCGAATCAGCCGTGCTGTGGCTCGTACGTTGGACTGCGTGCGGCCAGCAGTAACAGCCTAGTTGATCAGGCCGTGATCCATCGGGAGGCCTGGTCATGGACCGGGCCGCGGGGGCGTTGATCCCCGGAATAACCTCCAGGTAAGTGATGGTACGTGACGAGGTGTCAGTGTGGGTGCCTATGACAAGAGGGGTTCCGCAAGGGTCAGTCAGAGGGCCGGCGCTGTTTCTGGTATACGTGAATGGCATGATGGAAAGGATAGATTCAGAGGTGTCCCCGTTTGCAGACGACGTGAAGCTAATGCAGATAATTTAAGTGATTGAGGATCAGGCAGAACTATAAGGGATCTGGACAGGCTACAAGCCTGGTCCAACAACTGACCCCTGGAGTTTAGCTCCACCAGATGCAAAACCGTGAAGATTGGGGAATTTCAAAGAAGACCGCAGACCATAGTACAGGCTAGGGGACCAAAGACTGCAAATCTCACTCAAGGAAAAGGATCTTGGAGTGAGTGTCATACCGAGCTATTCTCCTGAGGCGCACATCAGCCAAATAACTGCTGCAGCTCATGTGTGCTTGGCAAACCTAAGAATAGCTTTTCGACACCTTAGCAAGGAATCATTCAAGACCTTGTACATCGTGTATGTCAGGCCCCTATTGGAGTATGCAGCACCAGTATGGAACCCACACCTGGTTAAGCATGTCAAGAAATTAGAGAAAGTGCAAAGGTTTGTAACAAGACTATTCCCGGAGCTAAGGGAGAGGTAAAAGGAAATCAACCTGACGACACTGGAGGACAGGAGAGTAGATGAATGGTTCAGAGAACCGACATGTTGTTGAATTAGACACGTGCAACACATGTGTCTAATTCAAGGACAGGAGAGATGGGGGGGGGACCTGATAACGACAAAAAATACTGAGGAATTGACAAGGTGAATATGGGCAGAACGTTTCAGAGTTGGGACACAACAACATTATTTATTATTATAATCAAAAAGAAGCGCTAAACCACAAGGGCTATACAGCGGACACAACAACAAGGGGTCACAACTGGAAGTTGAAGATTCAGATGAGTCACAGGGATGTCATGAAGTTTTTCTTCAGCCATAGAGCTGTCGGAAAGTGGAATAACCTGTAGAGTGATGTAGTGGAGGCAGAATCCATACATAATTTTAAGAAGAGATGTAATAAAGCTCATGGAGCGGGGAGAGAAGGAACCTAGTAGCGACCAGTGAAGAGGCGGGGCCAGGAGCTGGTTACCTGGAGGTTATTCCGGGGATCAACGCCCCCGCGGCCCGGTCCATGACCAGGCCTCCCGATGGATCAGGGCCTGATCAACCAGGCTGTTACTGCTGGCCGCACGCAGTCCAACGTACGAGCTACAGCCCGGCTGATCCGGTACTGACTTTAGGTATCTGTCCAGCTCTTGAAGGCAGCCAGGGGCTTATTGGTAATTCCCCTAATGCTTGATGGGAGGCTGTTGAACAGTCTTGGGCCCCGGACACTTATGGTGTTTTCCAGCCCCTACTTTTAATTGGGGGCATTTTGCATCGCCTGCCCAGTCTTTTACTTTCGTAGGGAGTAATTTCTGTGTGCAGATTCGGGACCATTACTTCCAGGATTTCCCAAGTGTAGATTATGATATATCTCTCCCTCCTGCGTTCCAACGAGTACAAGTCAAGTGCTTCCAAGCGTTCCCAGTAGTTAAGGTGCTTGACAGAACTTATACGTGCAGTAAATGATCTCTGTACACTCTCTAGATCTGCAATTTCACCTGCTTTGAATGGAGATGTTAATGTACAGCAGTATTCCAGCCTAGAGAGAACAAGTGATTTGAAAAGGATCATCATTGGCTTGGCATCTCTCGTTTTGAACGTTCTCATTATCCATCCTATCATTTTCTTTGCACGTGCGATCGGGGCACTGTTGTGATCCTTGAAAGTGAGATCCTCAGACATTACTACTCCCAGGTCCCTTACATTGTTTTTCCGCTCTATTGTATGGCCAGAGTCTGTAGTATACTCTGTTCTAGTTATTATCTCCTCCAGTTTTCCATAACGGAGTAGTTGGAATTTGTCCTCATTGAACATCATATTGTTTACCGTTGCCCACTGGAAAACTTTGTTTATATCTTCTTGGAGGTTAACCGCGTCCTCAGCAGATGACAGCCTCATGCAGATCCTAGTATCATCCGCAAAGGATGATACGGTGCTGTGGTGTATATCTCTGTTTATGTCTGATATGAGGATAAGGAATAAGATGGGGGCGAGTACTGTGCCTTGTGGAACAGAGCTCTTTACTATGGCAGCCTCCGATTTAACTCTGTTGACCACGACTCTTTGTGTTCGATTTGTTAGGAAGTTGAAGATCCATCTCCCCACTTTCCCAGTTATTCCTTTAGCACGTATTTTATGGGCTATTACGCCATGATCGCATTTGTCAAATGCTTTTGCAAAGTCTGTGTATATTACACCCCTCAAGGAAGGTTCCTTGATGTTGGTGAGGGGCTCTTGATTTAGGGAATTGGATCTGTGCTCCAGTTCCCCGAATTAAGCCTGAATGCCTTCCACACCTCCCCCCCAGACGCTGTATAATCCTCCGGGTTTAGCGCTTCCCCTTGATTAACATAACATAACATGTGTATATTACATCTGCATTCTGATTTTCTTCCAGTGCATCCAAGGCCATGTCATAGTGATCCAGTAGTTGTGAGAGGCAGGAGCGACCTGCCCTGAACCCATGTTGCCCTGGATTGTGCAGTTTTGGGGAACCCAGGTGATTTGCAATCCTGCTTCCTAGCACTCTTTCAAAGATTTTTGTGATGTGGGACGTCAGAGCTATTGGTCTATAGTTCTCAGCTAATGCTTTGCTGCCACCTTTATGGAGTGGGGCTATATCCGCTGACTCGACCCTTGCAACCACAAATAGGTAAGTACACACACACACACACGGTGTTTGGAACTCGTATAATACCTGAGAATATTTTGACGACGTTTCGGTTATCTGTGACTTAAATTCTGCAAAACTAAGAGATTAAAATTACTTCATCTCCCACTGTCTTCATATATCATATCTATACTGAATTAAAAACCTACTAGCTGGCGTAACGTCTGCAAAATAAGTGTTACGCATGTATATGTGTGAAATATCAACATTTTGGCACAGTTTGCCATTGACATAATGATTTTTGCAACGTGGGGGGGAGGCCATGACAAGGCAGTAACCTAGTGTGGGACTACCCTGGCTCCTCCCTCCGCCATGTATCTTACAAGAGAGTAGCTTGCAGAGGAGACACATGTGCTACAGTTCACACAGTAGAGAGGCACCGTGGAAGAGTTGCAAGTGTATTATTGCAGGTTTTATTGCAAGACTGGTGTGCAACCTGTCACCCCCTGGACGCCATCTCTTCCCTCCGCTGTCATCTCTAAAATCCTGGATTCTGCTGCACGCCTCCATTTTCCTGGAAACTTAGAGCCACCTGAGGTTTTTTTAATTTCGTTTTGAAATATCCAGACTAGCAGGTGTGTCTCAAAGGGGTTTATATATATATATATTATATGATTGTTCCAGACTTCAGATTAATGTCAGCCTTTCAGAAAAAAAAAACGAGTATTTGATTCCCTCCTGTGAACCATAACCTGACATCTTCCTCTAATCACAAGTCTTGGTAGTTAACTGTAATTAATGTTTTTTTTTTTTCAAGTGTTAATGAAATAAAAAAAAATTGTATTACAGTTCGAGTTGAGGGAGGCGGTACGACAGTGTTTCCCACTGCCACCACCACAACAAAACACTGTTGGCAGCTGTAAGAAAATGACTGAAATTGAGTGGAATGTGGAAAATGAGATTCAACTCTTTTATGCCATGATGGGTCACAAACCAGTCGGTTAGTTTTATGTAATGGTTAGTTTGTGTGTGTGGTGGGTGTACCCTAGGACACCACCTCAGTATGGGGGCTATGCTGTCTCTTTCCCGTCCAGAGAGGTTCCTTGATGCGGGGGAGGGCTCTTGATCCAAGAAGCTGACCCTGCTCTTCCCTTCTGTTGATCGAACCTGAATACCTTCCATTCCCACAGGTGCTGCATGACTCCTACGGGTTTATCACTCCCCCCCCCCCCCATGAATGCAATAATCCTGCTAGCCAGGGTCAGTGACCCTTAATGTTTAAGGATTGTTTTATGTACATATGTATTTGCTTATATATGTATGTATATCAAATAATAGTATATTACAGAATAAGGATGTGAGCATTGAGTGACGTATGTAGAATACTTCGTAAATGTCACAACGACTACGACTACTATGGTACTTAGAAGTTCAGCACTTTCTGTAAATTATAATATTCATGTTTTTGGTGAATTGTTTTTCATCCAGGGTATCAGAGCTAGCCTCCTTTTACCACTAATTACTTCTGATTGTCTCCCGTCCAGAGCTGGATTAAGATTTTGTGGGCATTCGAGGAACAGGAACTGAGGCCCTCTGTGATATTTTCAAAAGGAAAAATGTTAAGAAACATTCCATGAACAGTCAACAGTTCATCATATACATGATGCAATAAAGATAAAAGTATATTTCTTTGTAAAGGTTACAATGTGTAATTACAATTTTGGTTTGCTAAGTACAAAGAAAGTCACTATCATGCCGGGGCATTTCGGGCAGACTAATCCTAATACATAGTAACTACTTAAAACTAGACAAGATAATAATGGTTAACTTTATTACAATCTTATTTAATCTTAATACTACTGCTAGGTAGTCAAGGTGGAGGTTTATAAGATTAATAATCTTGAAGTTGCATACAGTAAGAACAATATTACAATTATGTAATGGTTCAGGCAGTAATATTTCATGGACTGGCAAAAGTTTAGAAGTCTAGAGATCAGATAATATAACTAATTAGCAGTTGTTTTGGTTGACTTGGTTAGTATTGAGAGATGATGATTTTTTAGCAAAGCCCTAAATTTACAAGTAGTCGGGGGATCCTTTACTGGTTCCAGTAGCGAGTTCCAGATCTTTGGGCCCTTTATGTGCATAGTGTTTTTTGCATATTGTGAGACTGACACAAGGGTTGTTGAAGAGTGCCTTATGTCTTGTATTGTGACTTATGTCTTGTGTTGTAACTGTCAAGTAGTAGTTTAAGTGGAGGGTTTATAGTGGAATTTAATGTTCTATATATGTAGTAGGCACAATAATATGACTGTATGACTCGTATATTTAGCAAGTTCAGGCTTTTGAAAAGTGGTGGGGTGTGCTGTCTAGCACAGGAGCTGGTAATCAACCTCACTGCTGCTTTTTGGTTACAGCCACCTTAAGGGTTTAAAGTGGTTGGCTGTGGTTGATCCCCAGGCACAAATACCATAGGTGTGGTAAGGATATATTAAAGAGTGGTATAGGGTAAGGAGTGTCATTTGTGGTACATAGTATTGTTTCTCGGAAAGGATGTCTACTGATTTGGAAATTTTCTTGGATATATGTTGGATGTGGGAATGAAATTTAAGATTACAGTCAAGGAGAAAACCTAGAAATTTACATATACTATAATTATATATATACTATAACTATAAACACTCTCCATGGGGAAGTGGAACAGAATTCTTCCTCTGTAAGCCATGTATGTCGTCAGAGGCAACTAAAATGCCAGAAGCAAGGGGCTAGCGAACCCCTTCTCCTATATAAATTAGTACTAAACTTTATATGAAAAACTTTCATTTTTTTCTTTTTGGGTCACCCTGCCTCAGTGGGATGCAGCCAGTTTGTTGAAAAAAAAAATTATGAACTTACAGCAGTAACTGGGAATACTCTTCACTTAATTTCTGGAGGCTCTCCACCTGGTGGAGGCCCCTGGGCTGCAGCCCCTAAAGCCCATTCCTTAATCCAGCCCTGCTCCCACCCCCCAGGTGCTGTATGATCCTTGCAGGTTTAGCACTCTCCATGACTAATAGTAATTACTCTCTTGCAGGTGGATAAAATTTTAATTTTGGGGGGTAGTGTGTTTGTCTTGTGTAAGTATAAACTTTTCAAATTCATATATGTTTGAATGACTTATGTACGTCTTATGTGTACAGAATTTTAAATAAAATGTAAAAAAATAATTAAATGGGTATTTCAAGCAATTTTTTTTGTGCACGAACTTCTTTTTATGTATTTTAGCATGACTATAATTAATTTTTTGCCTTTATTTTTCTTGAGTCGTAAACTAAAAAATGTTAAGTAGGTAAGTTTATTTAGGTACAGGTGCACATAAATACAATTATCATAGATAGTGTAAATTACCTATGTGTGAAGCTACCTGTATATAAGCCACTTAGGGTAGAGTAGGTAACACTAGTGCATCACTTATTTTCTCTGTTTGTTACAGCCTCCTGATCACAATCATAGCGCAGATTGTATTTTATGAAGAGCTAAATCCATGCAAGTTATTTAATACAAATAGTGGTGGTGGTAGGTCAGTCCTCCATCTGTTAATGGTGGCCCAGTCTGGCCAGTCAGATTGTCAGTAATCACTCCATAATAGTTTAAAAAGATACTTGTGCAGACATTAATACATGTTTACTAGAAAACGTTTTGGTCCTGAGAACTTTATCACATCCAACATACAAGAGTTAAGAATGACTCTTGTATGTTAGATGTGAGGTGTGAGAGGCCTATATGTACTATACTGTCATTCTTGACATTTGTGTGTTAAGAGGCGATTAAGGTTGGACCTAAACAATTTTTAATATGTGCTTATGTTTGCTAATATGCTTTTTAAACCACTTGTTGGTATTCGTTACCAAGGTTTATACCAGTCACTCCATAATCCTGGTCAGAATTGGAACTGAGCATGTTCATTATATGATTAACTTATTGAAAAACTCGTACATGAACTTCGCAATGCAGTGGAAATGCATTCGACTCGCAGCCGAATGTATCTGGATCAAACCCTAGACAAGATGTGCTGCATGAGTAAGTCTTTTAACATTTGCCACTGTTGCCAAGCATTACAAAAAGGGTTTCTAGGAGTTAGCCAATTTGTGGGTCACCTTCTGAGGAGAGATCTAAAAAAGGACACCAATGGAAATAAGCCACAGTGTTTAGTTTTTTGGTTTATCAGTTATTGAATTAATAAACCAAGAAAATCTTATTCAACTTTAGCAGATCTTCTACTTAGGCATTGTAATGCAAATATTAATACATCAAGTGACTACAGTAGTTGTGGGTAATGTACATATATATTTTTTAGCATATTATCTTCCCTAACTGCAGCTTTAACTTTTATATCATACTGAGAGTACTGTATTACTTGTATTATTATATTGTATCATAGTACAGCACTATGGAATTTTTATCATATAACTTTGCATGCGTGAGCGTGTTTGATAGGAGTGAATGGAGACAAATGGTTTTTAATACTTGACGTGCTGTTGGAGTGTGAGCAAAGTAACATTTATGAAGGGATTCAGGGAAACCGGCAGGCCGGACTTGAGTCCTGGAGATGGGAAGTACAGTGCCTGCACTCTGAAGGAGGGGTGTTAATGTTGCAGTTTAAAAACTGTAGTGTAAAGCACCCTTCTGGCAAGACAGTGATGGAGTGAATGATGGTGAAAGTTTTTCTTTTTCGGGCCACCCTGCCTTGGTGGGAATCGGCCAGTGTGATAATAAAAAAAAATAAAAACTTTGCCTAACTTTCTTAATAACTCATATAGCTATATTTTTTTTACCATATTGAGAGTTTCATACCTTTTTATTTCACTTAAAATTAAACATCATCTAGCTATAACTCATTTTATCAGAGTTAGACTTGCACTTAGGTGGATGGAGAAGAAAGTGTTGAGGGAAGGAGTAAAGAGAAGAGAGGAAGAAGAGTTGAAAAGAGAAAGGAAAAGGAGGTTGAGAAAGAGGAGGGAGATGAAAGAGTAGAAAAATTTTGTTCTAAGCAACTCTGATTTGGTAACTCACTTAAATTTTTGCTATTCTGACAGAAAAAAGAAACCGAGGGCTTGGAGGTGTCTCCCCTTTGGATTGAACCTGAATGCCTCTCAATTTCCCTAGGTGCTGTATAACCCCTAAAGGTTCAGCTCTCCCCAATGAGTACAATAGTCTAGCATGTCTGAAACCAAATTTTTTTGTTGCTAAATCAGTGATGTAAATTAGAAGTTGGGACAGCTGTTGTTGAATGAATGCAAACATTGTTGTTACTCTGCACATGTCCAGGTAATTAGACAAGTCTGTCTTATAAAACATCTCCCAGTGGATTGTCTACAGAGAATCAGACCAATAACAGTATGACACTCTTCTCATATTTCTCAGTCTTATCATAGATTGTGATAATACAACTCACCCACCACAAAAATGTATGGATAAGGTATTTGAGTGTTATGATTTATTTGGTGGTGGTTTTGTTATTGTTCACACTCCCACTCACTTTAAATGCTTTAAAATGCATATTCCTTTCCCCAATACCCTGCCTCTACTATTATTAATTCCCTAACTCTTGCTGTGTAGCACCAAATGACCTATACAGGAATGGCACTTTCTGTGAATATAATAAATAGAATAATAATAATTTGATACTTTTGATCATCTGCAAGGTTCCGATAGTAGTATTTTTCTCTCCAATTAGCATTCTCTTTTATTGGAATTGTTCTTGAAGTAGAGCAAACGACAAGCTTTATAATGCTATTTGCTTATTTTACAGGCGTGAATAAACACTTCCAGATGATGTTTATCCACAACAAGCTCAGCTCCTCCCTCAACTGTGAGCTGTCAACGAAGACTATATGGGACAAATTGGAGACTTTATATGATATGGCTGCCTTGGTAAGATAGACATTGATTTACATTGCTGAAAATTGTTCATCTTTATGCAATTATTCTGTATACTTTTGTGTAATTTGTAAATTGTGAAATTTATGTTACATCTGTGATATTGTGACTTTTATACTTGATTTACTTTGCCCATCCTTTCTGATGGTTCCAGCTTTCACTGCAGACTTGTTCTATGATATTATGCATGTGTACTTTTCAATTAATTAAATGGCTATTGAATTAAAATATATCTTTTGGTGCCATCTTTTAATATACTACAGTAAACCCTTTCGTAACATGCGAGTCATGTCTGACAATCACCATATACCATAAGATTGCTTTACATGTTCTGAAGAACATACAGGAAACTAGATTTGCCACTAAAAAGTTCACAATTGTACTAAGTAAATATTACTGCAGTTTAACTTAGCTAACATCATGGCAATGCCTTCCTCTTGAGATGAGTGTGGTGAGAGTTGATGTGGGTCAGCTTTTTTTTTTTTTTTTAATACATTACCTAACAGAATACTCCATTCTGTTGAATGCACAGTAACACAGTAAATGACCATATGACCTGTCTTTGTAATACTCATTTGTGCTAAATTATCTGTTTACAATAATGTTTTTACCACTGAATATATCATTGCTTAGTTAATCTTAAGTTAATTTTAAGCCTGCCCATAATGCTCTGCATACAAAGGGCTTTGGCATGTTGCACTGTAATAACTGTATTCCTTTGTACTTCACTGTATCATGTTCAAATTAATAAACAAAAAAATAAATATTGGGCTGAGGTAGATGGCTGTGGTCCTTGTGTTGATATGGATGCAGAGTTATCAGTACTTTAGTTGATGGTTGCATTGGAGTGCTCAAGTATTCTGTAATGTATCTCTGGTATGTTTTCCTCAGCAGTACTTTATAGCGCTGCTCAGAAAGCTGTGTTATGAAGACAATTGCACCATTTTTAAACTTTCAGTATTAAGCATACAGTTTTATAATAGAGTAGGGCTTTATACATTATCATGTGAGCACTAAGTGGGACCCCTTTATTTTTTTTTCCTCAGTCTGCACATTTAGTAACTTTTCAGTTTTGTTTAGCTGTAGTGATCTCTATGATATTCTTTTGAGCAGGTGACATTCAATATCACTTAATGCACATGCACAGTCCATTACGTGTACAGTACCTTTGAATATATCTAACACTTCCAGATTCTTTAACAAACTCATAGATTCTTCTTAGTACCTCTGGCATCAGTAGTATTCCTTTTTTGGCATGATGGAGACGATGGGAGACGGCCGACTTGTTGAAAAAAAAAAAAAAAAAAAAAGAGGCAAAGAGAGAGGAAAGCACAAGATGCTTACAGAGTGCAGCTGTAGGTTATTGGGAGTCATGTATTATTGCATCTAGTACCCAGATCTTATATGTAACAATGTTATGGCATGTAGTACTGATATTTTGTGTATTAGCTGATTCTATAATGTGCTTCATGGTGTGTAATATCAGTACATATTTTCATGTGCTTTCAAATTTTTTGATTGCCCATTTTTAAATGCATTTCAGGCAGATCACAGAATGTAAAATCACATTGTAAGAGGGTTGACTGTACTGCATGCCTTCTTTCAGGATGAATCGGACAAGTTGCCATTCCCAAACGATGAAAATGAATTCAATTTACCAGAAGTCGAATTTTCTGATCTGCTGGATGAGCGAAGTAAACCCGACTTAAAAGAGGAAAGCAGAGATAAAGAGGAGAAGGAAATTAGAGCTCGAGGACGACCACCTAAAAAAGACCCTGACAAGCTGGAATACAAGGATGAAGGTGAGTGAGTTACTGTGGTAGTTGATACACTGTTCAGGGTGAATGAGTTACTGCCGAACAGTATTTGGTACATAGTTGAAGAAGAAGCTTGTTTTGACCACAGTACTGTGACTTATTCTTAGTCACATAACTGCATGCTTCCTCATTTCAAAACATTATTATTTGAGAGAGCTTGTTTCTATACAACCAGTCATCAGATACCTGGACGGAGGACAGTATGGTGATATTGACAGTATTTAGATAAACACAAGCACATTTCAGGACATTTATTGAGGAAATGTTTTACTACAAGTGGCTTCTTCAGTCCGAATACAGAGATGCTAAAACAAGTATAAATAGTGCAACAGGTCAGGTGAGCACAGTAAGTTAAAATTGGGGTGGCCCGTGGTCTGGTAGGCAGTGCTCTCTCTTCACACGCTGAGTGTCCATAGTTCAATCTCCAGCAAGGGTAGAAACATCGGGCGCATTTCCTTATACCTATTGTTCTGTTCGCCTAGCAAGCAAGTAGGTACCTGAGTGTTAGTCAAATGGTGTGGGTTGCATCCTAAGGGACAAGCTTGAGGATGCCAATGGAAATAGGACAGGCAGTACCTTGATTATACACTGCCATTCTTGGGTTATCCTGGGTGGCTAACCCTCCGGGGTTAAAAATCCAAACAAAATCTTATCATATTACAGGAAATGTGTTGAATAAAAGATTAGACAAATATATGAAAGAAGCTGGTAGGCCTTCTGCAGTGCTTCATGATGCAGTTTGATGTTATCTAATGCTAGACAGGTCCTACTTCCACCTAGTGGCAGTAGCATGCATGATGTCACTGGCTGGTGACATTTAATTGCATTATCCAGGCTGGGTGGTAATCATTTTTGCCAATACCTGGAGGGTATTCCGAGGGTCAGCGCCCCCACGGCCCAGTTCATGACCAAAGACTCGGGAAATGCTAAAACTACCAGATTTTTGTGGGATAGTGCTGGGTACTGCTATGGTGATGGCATCAAAACACTTTCCACAGCTTACGTCATTTTTTTATATACACCTACCATCCGACTTACAACCGAGCTTGGTTCCTAGTGTTCTTTATGTAGAAAAACTTGTCATGTATATTATCTCACTCTAATACTGTATATACTTTTACCACATCAACCATTTCCCATAAAGATTGTGTGACCCCAAAGAAAGAAATACATTCACCATCATTCAATACCTGTCTTACCAGAAGTGCAGCCATATCAATTCAGATGTACCAAAAATGCAACATATTTAGGTTTACTGTATATAATGCAGTACAGCTTTTCTTCACTTAGCAACGTACTCATTTACTGATGACTCAGACTTACGACGGGCTCTCTGACCAGTATACATACCTAAATAATGTACAGTGGAACCCCAGTTTTCATGATTAATCCCTTCGAAAAAGTCTGACGATAAACTGAAGCAATATTTCCCATAAGAAATAATGTAAATCCAATTAATCTGTTCCAGACACCCAAAAATATTAACAAAAAATACATTTTATAGAGTGAAACTAGTTTTACATACAAGCTAGGGCAAACGAAAACCGAGGTTCCACTGTATAAAAGAGCTGATTTCCTCTACTCTGTTTATTACAGTGTATAGTATACTACTGTATAAACATTTAAAAATATACTAAAAATTTTATAAATGGTGCAAAGATGACATTAAAACAATATCATAGATGGTTGACACAAACCCATTGCCATTATAGTATGCTCCTTGCTTAACAACAAATTCGTTTACCGATATGGTCTTAGGAACGGAACTCCGTCATTAAGTGAGGAGAGGCTGTATAAGCAAAAAAAAAATACATCTTCCTAATTCTGCATCAATATTTGACAGGAGTAAGACGTGAGCGTGCCCGTGAACTGCGAGACGATGATGATGATACTCCAAGAAGGCCAGGAAAAAGAGGGCGAGATTCTAAGCCATCTTCCCCAGCCCACACCCCTACACCAAGTAAAAGACGCAGGAATTGATCACTCGTAAGATCGTACCTCGAAATACCGTACAAGCCTAAAATAAAAAAACAAGCACTGCGGAACCAACAGTCATGTTTAGCGATGCATGTGCTTAAATTGCTAACTTCAAAGTTAGTCAAAGTCCCACATGATACAATATTTATACAGAAATGGGTGCCATTTGATTGCATGCATAAAGCCCATGGTTATGCAGAGTATTTCAGGCAAGCTTAAGCCTAACTTAAGACTGCAGTTTCTACATGAACTGGCCTCAACACTAAATTTGGTTTGTAGATTCAAAACAGGCTATAAATTAAGTGGAAAGTAGGTTTAATATATAATGTTGTATCAAGTCATCTTGATACATTTACAGTCAGATGTCTTGATATTTTTATTGAGCTTAAAATGTTTCCTTATCTCCCCCCTCTTCCCCCCAGCTCAGTATGGTCTATACAGGTTTAGTGCTCCCTCACAGTGAATGTAATGTTAATTATTCAAAAGCAGTCCTTAAATTATTGTGTAAATGTCTGAACAAAACAACATTTTATTGTTAAAAAGTGGAACACACAAGCAATATGGAACATTATTCATTACCATACAGTGGGGCAGTTGCTCTCTGTTAAAGGTATTAAGGGTAATTGCATCACTATTTAAATTTGCCCATTATCTGAATAGTTTCCAATATATGTACCACTGTACTTACATAAACATATCTGAATAGTTTCCAAAATATCTACTACTGTACTTATAAATGCATATCTACTTGGAATCTGTTTACCAGTCATGTAGTGGTACATATTTTGGAAAGTACTCAAATAATGGGCACTTTTATGTGGCTGCACAATCACCCCCTCACAAGGTACCATTGTACCGTATGGTATGTAATAAATGGTACGGTCTTTACTAATTGTAACGTATTGTAATATTTTTATTCAATATAAATTCAGTAATTTTAAAAAAAATGTGAAAAATTAGTATTTAATTTTATCCTTAAAGTCTTTAGGTAAACTCTTAGATTTTTTTTATCAATTTAAATTAAAGAAAACAGGTTTACCTGTTAAAAAAAAAAAGACAATTTTAAGCTATACTCATGTACAGAAGAACAGCATCACTAAATGGCCAAGTCCTTTTATTTTGACTAATAGTTATTTTATTTATTTTCATATGCATCATATCCAGTTATTGAATTCATGGTAGAATATATGGGAATTGTGTGTGCCTGTGAAAAGCTTTACTACCTGAGAAGTGTCACATTTAATGAATAGTAAATATTTGAGGAGGATGTCTTGAGTACATATGATAGTTCAGATTGTTGGTATCCAAGCCAATAAATTTTCTGTAATATATACTCAAATTAAGTTGTAATAAATAACTATCAATTTATGGACTGCAGTTCTAGCCCCCTTGTCCACCCTTCTGTTTTTTTCTGTAATAAGTCTAGTGGTAATTACATAGATGTTATTAAAAATAATCATTTGTGCATCCATGTCATTGACACCTTGTTCTGTCTTCAAGGATGGCTGTGCAGAATTTTCAGGCATTTAAAATGCGTAGCAATAGTGTTAAAGCATCTCAGAAGAACCACCTTAAAACCATGATAAAGAAATTGTATATTCTGAACTGGTAATAGTAGTAATGGTATATATAAGTAAGATGTACTATCCCTATTCTGTTCCCACCATATTTCTAGGCAAAGTATGCATGTTATTGACTAATTGTAAAGCTGGATTTGTAAAATATTGTATATAATTTTGTATTATTTATAGGATCCCAGAATTACAAGGTCATCTATGGATCCAGAAAATTTTGACTGGTATTGTTTATTTCCCTAGTACAGGAGGACCCCACTTATACAGCAGGTTAGGTTCCGGGCTACTGTTGTAAACCAAAAATTTATGTAAAGTGAAACAACCTTTATTTCCACTTTCAAATACATATTAAGGCCTAATAACATGTTTACACTATCATTTATTAAGTAAGCAGTAGAGCTAGGCCTAAAAAATGCATATACAGTACACACATTACTTAAAATATTTTCATCCTTAGCTTATAGTGAGTGGTGAATGTATTTATTGTAAGAAGTTAGAATAAATGAAGAATGAGTATAACTGAAAACTGCTGCACTTTGCCACAGAGCGAAGTGCTATACAGCGAGGCTCGCCTGTACAATATACAGTGGACCCCCGCTTAACGATCACCTCCAGATGCGACCTATTATGTAAGTGTATTTATGTGAGTGCGTTTGTACGTGTATATTTGGGGGTCTGAAATAGACTAATCTACTTCACAATATTCCTTATGGGAAAAAATTCGGTCAGTACTGGCACCTGAACATACTACTGGAATGAAAAAAGTTCGTTAACCGGGGGTCCACTGTATTTGGAATTTATAAGTTGCTGTTGAGATTTTCTCACAAGAAACATTTTGATCAGTTGTGAAACTTCTGCTGACTAAGTGTTTACCTGCCATAAAAATGTATTTTCTTGATTTTTTTTATTTTCTCTGAATTTATGTACTGTATTAGGACACAGCTGTTTCATATAATTTTAGTTATGGCACAGATTCTTAATCTCTTTAAAATTTAATTTAAATTTGACTATTACAATAAGGTAAACTAATTAATATACAGTTGTAGTTACATTATATACATACATGATCATATGAAGTGTCAAAGCATCTACAGTTCCAAGTCAAATAACCAAGGTTATTTCATATTTTGGGGGAAATTAGTGTTCTGCATTGACTCATATGGGTTTGGTGCTTGTTTTCAAATATAATGCCAGTAATGTACCATAATATTTAGCTCCTCCAAAAATCATTACTACAGGTATAAAGGCTTCTACTTTGTTTATGAATTGATGGTTGTTAAAATGCTCTTGAATAGAAATTTCAGAGTTTGAGTTTTGCATAAAAGTTCAATAATTGTGATTATTATTATTATTATTATTATTATAATCAAAACTAAGTGGTAAATCCACCAGGGTCATACAGTACTGTGTAATTCTGTGAAATGCCCAACATTTATTAAAAATATAATACAGTACAGTGGACCCCCACCTAACGATATTATTTCAATCCAGAAGTCTGTTTGGGTGCCGTTATAGACCGAATTTGTTTCCATAAGAAATATTGTGAATTACATTAGTCCGTTTCAGACCCCCAAAAATACACCTACAAAAGCACTTACAAAAATACACTTACATAATTGGTCGAGTTGGGAGCTGATCGTTAGGCGGGGGTCCACTGTACTATAAATATATTTCTCAAGATACTCTCAGTTTTGGGAAATTTATAAAGTATGTGAAGTATTATTAGATCTTCAGCTTTTAGTGCACAATATACCATAGTGTATTGTACATTACAAGTGCATCTTGCCATAAAAGTAAAGAAATAGTCTGTACACAAAAAAAAATGCATTAACTGTAGCAGTGCAGGAATAATATTTGAGTCTATATTATTTATTATGTAAGGGTTTATGGCAGGGGTTCCCAGCCTTTTCTATGCCCCACACCCCTAGGAAATGTTTGATTAATGTTGCATCCCCTACGAAAGTAATATCACATTTGAAGATGAAGTCAAATTTCTAATTTTTAAATCACAAATTGAACCAAATACAGTACTGTGGGTGAACAAAATACAGTACTGCGGGTGAACAAATTGAACTCCAGAAAAAATAAACTTTTAAGTCAGTGCATAAAACACAAATATAAATTGAGCAATTAGAAAAGTTTTTGGTAAAATAAACAGAATTGTGCTTTTCATTAGACTATGTTGCACCCTCTGAAATGCCTCTCTCACCCCCTAGGGGCATGTGAACCCCAGGTTGGGAACCCCTGGTTTATGTTGAGTTTTGATGTTAGAATTCATGTGAATGATTCATGTAGAGACAGAATCTTATGTTAGATCGATGATGATAATTGTTCTGGAACCTTTACATTAAAAGAATTTGTTGATGCTCGCTTTCTTTGTGTAGGAAACAAATTTTGGCTAAAAAATAGTTATTATTATTATTATTATTATTATCAAAAAGAAGCGCTAAGCCACAAGGATTGTTATTATTACAATCAAAATTAAGCACTAAACCCACCCGGGTCGTATAGAGTTGGCTAAAAATAATTGTATTTTTTTTTTTTTTTAACATCGGCCATACAGTGCCTGGAATGGTTAATATGGCAGGAAATTTCAAAGTAGTTGTGGAATAGTTTTATAATGAAAGCAGTGTTATGATAATATAAGAGGCTGGCTAAGGTAATAACCACATGCTATATCTCCATAATGAGAGAAATTATAGCTAGCAAAATGAGCATCACTAAAAATGAAAGTTTTTTACAGATGAAAAAAAAAAAAAAACCTTGTGGGTTTAGTGCTTAGTTTTGATTATAATACAGATGAAAAAGACACAAGCATTACTTAAGCTATGTTAGCTCCTGACAGTAAATTCATGGTGAAAAGGTAAGCACAATTGAGTTTAAATATGGTTTCTAATCAGGAGGGAAGTAAAATATATTTCACAAAAAGTACTAAGAAAATGTCTTGAGAGATTGGTATTCAAGAAAATAGGCTTATTGTACATTTTGTAAGGTAAGATTTTTTTATATATTCATTGAAAAGCAAACCCATAGGGGTCATACAATGCCTGTGAAATGGGGGGTAGTTAGGGTTGATCAAAGACAGGCAATTATTGTTTATATATATAGAGAAGTGCTAAACCCAAAGGAGTCATACAGCACCTGGGGAATTAGTGGTATTCTTGTTTAATTCTAGGAAGGAAAGAGTAGCTCCAATTTCTTATATTATTACAATCAAAACTACACTAAACTCACAAGGATCATAGTCAGTTCCTTTCAATTAATAGTCCATCAGTTTCAAAGTAAACCTTCCACCTCCCCCCGTCCCTTCTTTATCTTCCCTTGAAGGGAAATGTACATACTGTCTATAGTAAGACATGAGAGGAAGTGTCGAGGGTGTCCCTGATATGTGCCAAATGTTTGCATACGAGTAAAATCAGAGGAATGGGTAAACAAATATCACAAGGAAGCATGTAAGAATTTTTTAAGATGAAGAATGTAGAAATGTACAGAAATACAACATATGGAGGTTTTACTACACAAACACATTGCTGTCTTTAAAATATACTTGTTCAGTTTAATTTGAATGTGAGATACTGTGTGAATTGAGTAACATCACTCATTATCATTCCATTTTGTGGTGTAAATCTTAAGCATTTCTTATTAGGAAATGTGGAAATCAAGTGGTATAATTTTAGGCAAAACTGAAAACTGCAGTGCTAATATATAGGCATGATTCGTTGTTGCCTACCAGATGCAGAACTTCATACTTAACACTAAGATCAGCCAGATACGTAACTTCAGTCTTTAGTTATACCATAGTAGAGCGTACCGACTATGTAAACAATAAGACAGACAATGCAGGTTATGGCATTTTATTCATGAAGAAGTTTGCTCCACTAGGGACTTCATGAATTGTACATGAATTGGTAAAGTCCCTGATAAATGAAACTTCTTGACAAATAAAATGCCATAAACCACATTGACTGCCTCATTACTATACCATTGGTTTTTGCCTAGAGAGAAGTTAAAAATATATGTTTTTGCAGTGTATCTGCTCATGGTTCTATACCAGAGGTTATCAGGTAGGTTAGAGTATAATAGAAATGAAAACCTTAATATCTTACGTTGTCAATTATTATTACAAAAAAGGTTGAGTGTACGTTTGTTTTATTTTCAATCCTCATCATTAACAGCAAAATTTTGACTGTAGTAGTACTTCCATCACATTAATCATTATACTCTTAGAAAAATATTATAATCATCAGAACATGCATAGTTCCTTTGTATAAAGGCAAAGGGGACAAAAAAGTATAAAAATTATAGGGGAATAAGTGTTGAGTACACCTGGTAAAGTGTGGTAGTTATTATTGAAAGAATTAAGAGTAAGACAGAAAGTAGGATAGCAGATGAACAAGGAGGCTTTAGAAAAGGTAGGGGATGTGTAGGCTAAGTGTTTGCAGTGAAACAGTGAACAGTATTTAGATAAGAGTAAAAAGGTATTTGTGGCATTTATGCATGTGAAAAAGGCATATGATAGGGGGGCAATGTGGCAGATGTTGCAAATGTATGGAATAGGTGGGGGGTTATTGAAAGCGGTGAAAAGTTGTTACCTGGAGTTTACCTGGAGAGAGTTCCGGGGGTCAACGCCCCCGCGGCCCGGTCTGTGACCAGGCCTCCTGGTGGATCAGAGCCTGATCAACCAGGCTGTTGCTGCTGGCTGCACGCAAACCAACGTACGAGCCACAGCCCGGCTGATCCGGAACTGACTTTAGGTGCTTGTCCAGTGCCAGCTTGAAGACTGCCAGGGGTCTGTTGGTAATCCCCCTTATGTGTGCTGGGAGGCAGTTGAACAGTCTCGGGCCCCTGACACTTATTGTATGGTCTCTTAACGTGCTAGCGACACCCCTGCTTTTCATTGGGGGGATGGTGCATCGTCTGCCAAGTCTTTTGCTTTCGTAGTGAGTGATTTTCGTGTGCAAGTTCGGTACTAGTCCCTCTAGGATTTTCCAGGTGTATATAATCATGTATCTCTCCCTCCTGCGTTCCAGGGAATACAGGTTTAGGAACCTCAAGCGCTCCCAGTAATTGAGGTGTTTTATCTCCGTTATGCATGCCGTGAAAGTTCTCTGTACATTTTCTAGGTCGGCAATTTCACCTGCCTTGAAAGGTGCTGTTAGTGTGCAGCAATATTCCAGCCTAGATAGAACAAGTGACCGAGAACAAGTTACGAGAATAGTTTGACTCAGGTTAGAGTATGTAGGCGAGAGGGAGATTATTTCCCAGTAAAAGTAAGCCTTAGACAGGAATGTGTGATGTCACCATGGCTGTTCAATATATTTATAGACGGGGTTGTAAGAGAAGCGAATGCTCGGGTGTTGGCAAGAGGCGAGGGGTTAAAATATAAAGAATCTAACACAAAGTGGGAGTTATCACAGTTGCTCGTTGCTGATGACACTGCTTTTGGGAGATTCTGAAGAGAAGTTGCAGAGGTTGGTTGATGAGTTTGGTAGGGTATGTAAAAGAGGGAAATTAAAAGTGAATATAGGAAAGAGTAAGGTTATGAGGATAACAAAAAAAATTAGGTAATGGAAGAGTGGATATCAGATTGGAGGGAGAGAGTATGGAGGAGGTGATTGTGTTCAGATATTTGGGAGTGGACATGTCAGCAGATGAGTCTATGAAGGATGAGGTGAATCATAGAATTGACGAGGGGAAAAAGGTGAGTGGTGCACTGAGGACTGTGGAGACAAAGAACTTGACCCATGAAAGCAAAGAGGGGAATGTATGAGAGTATAGTTATAACAATGCTCTTGTATGGGTGTGAGGCATGGGTTGTGTATGTTGCAACAAGATGATGTCACATCCGAGAGCAATGTGTGGTGTGAACATACTGCAGAGAATCCGTAGTTTGGAGATTAGGAGGAGGTGTGGGATTACCAACACTGTTATCCAGAGGGGTTATTGAGATAGTTTGGACAAGTAGAGAGGATAGGATGAAATAGAATGACAGTGTATAAATCTGTAGTGGAGGGAAGGTGGGGTAGGGGTCAGCCTAGGAAAGGTTGGAGGGAGGGGGGTAAAGAAAGTTTAGTGTGCGAGGGGCTTGGACTTCCAGCAAGCGTGTGTAAGTGTGTTAGATAGGAGCGAATGGTGACAAATGGTTTTTAGGACTTTATGTGCTGTTGGAGTGTAGGCAAGGTAACATTCATGGAGGGATTTGAGGAAACCGGCAGGCCGAATTTGATTCCTGGAAATGGGAAGTACAGTGCCGGTACTCTGGAGGGGTGTTAACGTTGCAGTTTTATAACTAGAGTAAGCATGCCTCTGGCAAGACAGTGATGGAGTGAATGATGAAAGTTTTTCTTTTTCAGGCCACCCTACCTTGGTGGGAAATGGCCAATATGTAAATAAAAATAAATAAGGGGGGAAGCGCTAAACTCATAGGATTATACAGCACCTGTGGGGGATGTGGAAGGTATTCAGGGAACTGGAGCAGATCCAATTCCCTAGATCAAGAGCTCCTCATCAGCATCAAGGAACCTTCTTGGAGAGACTACTCATAGAAAAACAATCAGTTAGGCATCACTTGGGGAATGAATTACTCAGATGGTTGGCAGAACTTATGGATAAGCAGAGGGCCTCACGAGGAAGCTGTATGACCCCTAAAATTTACCTCTTACCCCTTGAACATAGTATATATTTATAGGGAAACACTAAACCCATAGGGGTCATAATGCTTTTGGAATTCTAAGCAGTCGGGTTTGATCCAGGGATAAGAGGTTAAGTCCAGTTCCTTGAATCAAAACTCTCCTTCCTTGAAGGGAGGGCCAAAGAAAAGATACATCCTAAGCATCCTTATATTTATGGGGAGAGCTAAACCCATAGGGCTCAGGGGCATGGGAGACATTCGGGTTCAATCCAAAGAAAAGTCAGGTCCAATTTCTTAGATCAAGAGCCCCTCACAAGCAACAAGGAGAAGGAAGTGCCAAACTGGTAAGGGTCATACAGTGCCTGGGAAACCAGAAGGCATTCAGGCTCAATTCAAGGACTTGAGCTCAGGTCCATTATTATTACTATAAACATAATTAAAGTGCTAAACCCAAGAGGGTCATACAGTGCTGCAGGGTAAGGTGTGCTAAAAGTGTAATACGCTTGATCAGAGACCAGCGAGAGGCAAATGAGTATAACAGAGGTAGAGTTAGTCAGGGAAGCGAGGAGTGCTAAAGGAAATATAATCAAAGTTAGTGTAATAAAGCTGTGGCTGACAAGTCAAGAGGAAATGTGTCAAAGGTGGGGCTGTCAGTGAGGAGGGAAGATAAAGTAATAGCATTAGAGCAGTGACAACGTCAGAGATAAATTCTGCGTGCCTGCTGGTAAACAGGACGGTCTAAGAGAATATGGCAAAATAAAAACTAAATTTAAACAATCTCACAAAGTGGCACGGGTCCCCTTTCCCATGAGTGAAGACGTTGTGCCCAATTGAAGACAGGAAAGCGTATTCCTGACCATAAACCACAAATCAAAACACGCTTGCAGAATATAATTGTTATGAATATGCAACCAACATTTGCAAGGTACTAGATTATTATAATTATGGGGGAGCGCTAAACCTACAGGATTATACAGCACATGTGGGGGGGGGGGATAGAAGGTTTCAGTTCAATTCAGGAACTGAGCACAGATCAATTCTCTAGATCAAGACCCTATAAGCTAAAGGGAACTCCTTGAGGAAAAGGTTTGGCTAGAGATTACAGCAAAATAATCTGAGAATGGAATACCCTTACGTATATGAAATGTGGAGGTCATGTACAGTTGACCATGCAGCAAAGTCCACCTGTTCGTTGCCCTGAACATCCACATGACCAGGACCCAGCAGTTTATTTTTATTATAATCAAAAAAGAAGCGTAACCCACAAGGACTATCAGCGCTGAGGCAGAGAAGCGAGGCATAGTGGCAAAGGAGATGGATGATAATAGTTACGGTAACAGCGGGTATGGATGGTGAAAGGTTTAAAGGCAGCAAGAGACTGAACTAGAAAGGGCTGAGGGGAGTGCGAAAAGTATCATCAGAGTTTGTGGAGTAAATCAGTCGTTGTCAAGAAGTCAATGAGAGAGTCAGGTTTTAAAGGGGGGTCCATCAGCTAAAAGGGGAAAAGGTAAAGAGAGAGTAGTAGAACGAAGACGACGACGGAGGTAAATTCTGCGTGCTCGTTGATAGAGAGGGCAGTCTAACAGAATGTGGCTAATCGATACTGGAACTTGACACTGCTCACAGAGAGGAACAGGGTGCCTCTCCATGAGATACCCATGAGTAAGACGAGTGTGGCCAATGCGAAGGCGGGAGAGAGTGGTCTCCCAACCTCGGCACTGATGACAAGAAGACGGCCAGTAAACCTATGCTCGGTTTAATAGAATGAAGTTTGTTACCGAGCAGAGTTAACCAACATTGTTCCCAAAACGGGTGCGAAGGGTGGGTAGCTATTGCAGCAAAATAGTCCAGAAATGGAACACCTCGATAGGAAATTGGTAGGTCATGTACTGCTGACCGCGCAGAGTGTCTGCCTGTTCATTGCCCTGTACGTCAACATGCCCAGGGACCCAACACAAAAACAATATCTTTATTTTTGGTAGAGTATGGCGTAAGCCAAAGTTGGATACGGAGAACTAGGGGTGAGATGTATCAAATTTTGGTATAGCCTGTAGAGCACTAAGGGAGTCTGAGACTACTACAAATGATGACACAGGCATAGATGCGTTTCGAATAGTGCTGCAAGAATGGCATACAGTTCAGCAGTGAAAATGCTAGTGAAGATAGTAAATGCCCCAGGGACGCTGTCCGGAAACACTGCTGCGAATCCGACGCCATCTGAAGACTTAGAGCCATCTGTGTACACAGCGGTGGCATGAGAATGGGAGTGGAAGTGATCAAGAAAAAGAGAGCGGGAAGCCACCGTAGGCAGTTGAGCTTTCGAGCAAGGGAGGGGAGAAAGAACAGCCCCGAACAGCTAGAACTTCCCAGGGGGGTAGGGAAAAGTGAGATGCTACATGAACATATAAAGGTGGTAACTGAAGGGAAGACAAGAGTGAATGTAGGCGAAGAGAAAAGGGACGGAGCAAACAGGGGCGGCGAACGAATAAATAATGTCTACTAATATCG